TATATATATATGGTATATTCGCATCTCAGAAGCGTTTGCATTGTGTTCTAGACTTCACACACCTCAAACCTAATAGTAAGACAGACCATTACCCGCCCATTCCACACACCCCACAGGACACTGTATTTGCGGACGTGGCCACAGATACGCTCAACGATGTGCTGCGAGGGTACGACTGCACCATCTTCGCCTATGGACAGACAGGCAGTGGTAAGACCTACACCATGCTGGGTGAGAAGGGCCTCTCGGGCGATTGGAGCACCAGTCCCAATGCTGGACTCATCCCTCGATGCATCATTGAGCTGTTCAAGGTAGGGGGTTGTGCTGGTGTTAGGGTGTAGGGTTTAAGGTTTGGCTTAGCATGAGTATCATCTGTAGTTGCTAGTGTAGTCCGTGGGCGTGGCGTGCGTGGTAGTGTGAGAGTGGGCTGTGCAGTAAGCCTGATCCATGAGGCCTACACAAGATATTATTTTGTAGTCGCACTTGTACCAAACAGGGTTAATAGGGTTAATAGGGTTGATAGGGTCATTAGCGTTAGTTGGCTTAATTGGCTTAATAGGCTTTATAGGGTTGATTGGTTGACTGTAATTCCAGCTTTGATGTCGGGGTGTGTGGCACTGCTTAGTTGCGCTGTGGCTGATTGACTATCATCACAGTCGAATTATCTGTGGCAGCCGATGTGCTTAGTCGTGCGACTGCGCCATTTGCTATGCGTAGAGAAGGAACTGTTTAAAAGAAGAACGGTTTATTTTGTTACCTACTTTGTTGTAGGGTTTAGGGTTTCCGTTGTTCTTTGGCACACACATATACTGCGGCGGAGCATGTTTTCAGTGCGCATACGGCTCCTTCCAATACACAGACAAGCATGGTGCTGTCTAGAACCCTAAACCCCTACACATGTTTTAGGGTTTTAGAGTTCTTGAAGTTTTATACCAGCTACTTACTTGTTGTATGTGGTTTATCTACGGTCTCTCTGCCGCGTGTGCCCATCGTAGGCCCTGGACCAGTCGCTGAAGAGTTACCAGTTGAGTGTGTCGTACCTTGAACTTCACAATAACAAGTTGCTTGATTTGTTGGTGCTGGACGATCGCCGACCCCCGAGAATCCTGCGTAACGCTGAGGTGTGTCTGTGCATGAATGGTTGTAGTACACGGCTACGTGTGTGGTCTATGTGCATACGGAATAACCCATCGTTTAATTTTGTGCACTTGAGTCTGGGGTGAGGATTCATATGTCTATGTCAGTGTCATACTTTTTACGCAATAGCACGTCTTTTGCCTATATGCACTTCAGTTGGTGGTGAGGATGCATATGCCTAGGTCAGTGTTTTACCTATTCCGAGGTTATTTCGGCCCCATCTGTTGTGCTCTTTCGATTATTCCGTATTGTTTGTGCGAATGTTCGTGTGCCTGATTTTCAGTGTCTGTGCGTGTGTGTGAATAAATAACCGAAATACATTGACCTGAATGTACGGGCTTGCTGTCTGTGCCGTACTTTAGGCTTTTAGAGTTTTTGTGTTTACTTGTGCTGCTTTCTATGCTTCTTACGCCAATGATTTGTATGTGACCGTACAATTACACACAGCTTGAGTCGTACTAACGCGGATATTACGTTGCTTTGCATTGCATTGCCTTGTATTGCATAAAAACCCAACCTAAAAATCCTAAACCATAAAAACCTGAACTTTAAACCCTAAACTCTAAAAAACTGCGTTGTAGGGCAATGATGTGATGGTGGGTATGGAGCGACCGGATGTGAACAGTGTACATGACGCGTACAAAGTGCTGTCACAGGGCCTTAAAAAGCGCAAGGTGGCTGCGACCAAGATGAACATCAACTCAAGGTTTGTACCAGACACCACATATGACCAATATACAGAGTGTGCTCATGAACATTAACTCAAGGTATGTACCAGACACCTCATATGTACCAACATACAGAGTGTGCTCATGAACATCAACTCGAGGTATGTACCAGACATCTCATATGTACCAACATACAGTGTGCTCATGAACATTAACACAAGGTATGTACCGGACACCTCATATGTACCAACATACAGAGTGTGCTCATGAACATTAACTCAAGGTATGTACCAGACACCTCATATGTACCAACATACAGAGTGTGCTCATGAACATTAACTCAGGGTATGTACCAGACACCTCATATGTACCAACAAACAGAGTGTGCTCATGAACATCAACTCGAAGTATGTACCAGGCACCTCATATGTACCAACATACAGAGTGTGCTCATGAACATTAACTCAAGGTATGTACCAGACACCTCATATGTACCAACATACAGTGTGTGCTCATGAATATCAACTCAAGGTATGTACCAGACACCACATAGAAACCAACATACGAGGTGTGCTCATGAATATCAACTCAAGGTATGTACCAGACACCACATATACACGAACATACGAGGTGTGCTCATGAACACCAAATCAAGGTATGTACCAGAAACCACATAGAAACCAACATACAGAGTGTGCTCATGAACGTTAACTCAATGTATGTACCAGACACCACATATACACCAACATACAGAGTGAACTCATGAACATGAAGTAGATGTATCAACATACAGAGTGTGTTCATGACCATGAACTAGTCACCACATATGTACCAACACACATAGTGTGCTTATTAACGTTAGCTCAAGATATGAACTATGGCGACGCGGATTACACTCACTGCAAACTCAATACGCCAACACACACCACAATCCCATTGCATCTGTGTATATTTTGCCCATTGTACACTCTCCTACACTCGCATTCACGCTCACAATCTCATGTCTGTGTATAGAGGATAGTCTGTGTGTTTGTTACAATCACACTCACACTTATGTGTGTGCATAGGGTCTGGTCTATGTATATAATACACTCTCACTCACACACTCATGCATGTGATAGGGGATAGTGAGTATGTGATAAACTCACACACTCTCTCATGTGTGTGTATGATACACTCTCTCATGTGTGTATATGATACACTCTCTCATGTGTGTATATGATACTTTCTCTCATATATTTGTATGATACACTCTCTCATGTATGTGTATGATACACTCTCTCATATGTGTGTATGATACACTCTCTGATGTGTGTGTATGATACACTCTCTCATGTGTGTGTATGATACTTTCTCTCATGTGTGTGTATGATACACTCTCTCATGTATGTGTATGATACACTCTCTCATGTGTGTGTATGATACACTCTCATGTGTGTGTATGATACACTCTCTCATGTGTGTGTATGATACACTCTCTCATGTGTGTGTATGACACATTCTCGTGTGTGTGTATGGTACTCTTTCTCATGCGTGTGTATGGGGTATAATTGCTTGATGCCACAGATATCTCACTAACCCGTGTTTTGTGCTTTGGGCCGTGTGTTCCTTCCCCTGTGTTACATGAACAGTCGGTCGCACACTGTCTTCACTGTCTACGTCGACATCACCGAAACAGACGCCATGGGACAGGAAATCAGACGCAATGGTAAGAAACCCTACCACTAAACCCTAAAACTAAAACTCAAGGGGTGGATGTCAGTGTATGCTACTTGAGTCACATGGTTAATGTCAGTGTATTAGTCATACATTGCTCACCTTATCCTGAGTATTTCACAGTTGCCTTTAGTGTGGTACGGGTGTATCCATACACCTTCAATCACGCTTAATTAATAATGCTCAAAATTTGCTACCAGCCTAGAGTTTATACAAACCTAGGTTTATGCTTACATCATCCACCATACCTACTTACCTATAGCTTATCTCTCCTTCTCACAGGTAGTCTTGATCAGGTAGTCCTAATTCATTCATACAGGTAGTCTAAATCAGGTAGTCGTAATTCCTTTCACAGGTAGTCTTAATCAGGTAGTTGTAATTTATTCATACAGGTAGTCTTAGTCAGGTTGTCCTACTTCCTTCTCACAGGTAATCTTAATCAGGTAGTTCTCTTTCCTTCTCACAGGTAGTCTTAATCAGGTAGTCCTAATTTATTCACACAGGTAGTCTTAATCTGGTTGATCTGGGTGGTTCTGAGAACATTGAGCGGTCGGGTGCTGTGCATGCGCGTGCTCGTGAGGCTGGCAATATCAACCAAGACCTGCTGCACCTGGGCACAGTCATCCGCAATCTGGTGGAGGGCAAAATCATCGAGGGCATGTACAGGTATGTACTACAACCAACAACCTACAACCACAGGGTAAGTGTAGAACGATTCATGTACAGATATGTACTACAACCACATGGTCAAATGCTTATCACATGTGTGTAGAACAGTTCATGTGCGTGTGTGTGTATGGGTCATAGTTTCATGCACGTGTTTGTGCACGTGCTTCCTACCGTTGTTGCTGTGTGTCTGTGTGTCTTGTGCATGTGTGTGTCGTCTGTGTGTCATGCGCATGTGCATTAAGTCATTTGGCCTCTGAGTACTTTTCTGTTGTTCTTCTGTAGCGTTGGCGTATGCACAGCCGTCATCACATTGCGTTGCACCCTAAAGCCGCATAAACTATGTTATCGAACCCCCTAAACCCCCTGAAAACCCTAAACTATAAACCCTGTACCTTTCTTTTCTTGTTTGTCCTTGCTTCTTCCAATCAAAAGGGGTAAGGTGCTGACACAGCTGCTGAGGAACTCCTTAGGCGGAAAGGCCAAAACAAAGTTCATTGCCACAGTGGGACCAGCCAGCTGCAACGTACAAGAAACACTCAGAACACTCGAGTACTGCTTTACAGCCAAGAACGTCAAGAACAGACCAGAGATGAATGCCACCTGCATGAACAAGGTACGCACACACGTGACACACAACAGCACATAACACACAGACATGCATACAAGTGTAACACAACAGCACGTAACACACAGACATGCATGGGAAGACATTGTATGTCATAAGCCAAACAAACACATGTGTTTGTAGACATACCATGACAAAAAATACTATAATTAGATTTGTTCAATTGAAACACGTGTGTTTGTTTCACATGCACATGCTTCTGTGTGTGTGTTTCACATGCGCATGCTTCTGTGTGTGTGTTTCACATGCACTTGCTTCTGTGTGTGTGTTTCACATGCATATGCTTCTGTGTGTGTGTTGCACATGCACATGCTTCTGTGTGTGTTTCACATGCACATGCTTCTCTGTGCTTACTGCGTTGGTTGTGTATACACGTTCCTTTGTTCTGTGCAGAAATTCAAAGTTCGACTACTAGTCTTTGTCCTGGGTAGCGTGAGGACGTTAACGCCTATATGCGTACATATTGTACAGAGTTTCATACCGTTAACAAATATATGCCTTGCGTTTTTGGGGGGGTTTTCAGGGTTTCATATCGTTAACGCCTATATGCCTTACTGGGTTTCATACCGTTAACATACATATGCCTTTGTATCATACAGGGTTTCGTAACATAACGTTAATGCCTATATGTCTTTGTATTGTACAGAGTTTCATAGACGAGGATGATGAAAGCTTGTATGTCAACAAATACGAAAAGGAAATCATCAGGTTACGCAAAGACCTATTTGCAGCAAGAGAGCAGAATGGGGTGTGTGGGTGCATATGTGCGTGTGTATGTTGGGGTGTACGTGAGTGTGTATGTAGTTGGATATGATAATGTGCATATGAGTGCATATGTGAATGTGTATATGAGTGTATATACCAGTGAGTATGTTAGTGTGTACGTGGGTGTGTATATGATTGTATATGATAGAGTGTATATTTGTGCATATGTGAGTGTGTATGTTGTATATGAGTGCATATGTGAGTGTGTATGTTGTACATGAGTGCATATGTGAGTGTGTATGTTACTGTGTATAAGAGAGTGTATGTGCGTGTATATGTGAGTGTGTATGCGTGGAACTAACCAACCCAGCAGGCAAGTATGTATGTATGTCGGATATATACCTTCATATGTCTATTATATCTAGATATAGACCTTCATTCGTCTATTATGCCTGGATATAAACCTTCATACGACTATTATGTCTAGATATAAACATTCATACGTCTATTATACCTGGATATAAACCTTCATACGTCTATTATGCCTGAATATAAACCTTCATACGTCTATTTTGCCTGGATATAAACCTTCATATGTCTATTATACCTGGATATAAACCTTCATACATATATTATACCTGGATATAAACCTTCATACGTATATTTTGCTTGGATATAAACCTTCATACGTCTATTATGCCTGGATATAAGCCTTCATACGTCTATTATGCCTGGATATAAACCTTCAAACGTCTATTATGCCTGGATATAAACCTTCAAACGTCTATTATGTCTGGATCTAAACCTTCATACGTCTATTCTGCCTGGATATAAACCTTCATACCTCTATTATGCCTGGATATAAACCTTCATACCTCTATTATGCCTGGATATAAACCTTCATACATCTATTATACCTGGAGATCTACCTCCATACGTTGATAATGTCTGCCTGTCCTCCCCTCAATCATTTGGTCCTGTTTTGTCCCGTTTTTCGCCTATTTCTTATCCATCTTTCGTCTCGCATTCGTGTTCGACTCCATTTCGTTCGCCGCAGATGTACATGTCACAAGAGAGTTACGACCAGCAACAGCAACACACAACCTCACTACAGGACCAGTGCAACGAGTTAAATGGCATCCTCAGTATCATCAAAGGTACGTGCAAAAGCAGACAAACCCTAAACCCCTAAACCCTATCAAGGGTTAACAGAGTAAGCAGAAAAGTAACCCCTATCAATATTTAACGGGTGGTAAACACATAAATAAACTCTATCAACGGTTAACAGATGATCTATATATGGTAAGCACAAAAGTAACTCCTATCAATGGTTAACAGATAATCTATACATGATAAACACAAAAGTAAACCTTATCGATTGTCAACACGTGCATATTCTTCGTCAATGGCTAAAACGTGCATGTGCTGCATCTGCGCAGTTGGGATTGGGGTGGCTAGCACTGTGTCAGAGGAGACACATTGCTTAGCGTTTAGGTTTAGGGTTTAGGGTTTATCACTGTACCATGTAGTGAGGGAGGATGGGCAGTCGAGTGTCAATGATGTTTGTTAGGTTGTTTGTTTGTTTGTTTATTTATTTGTCTGTTTGGTTGTCTCTGGGTTTGTTGGTATATAGGGTTTCTTTGCTTCTTTGTTTTATTCGTTGACCTCATGTCGTTGCAACTGCGTACGCCACAGAACAACATCAACGGGAGAAGAGTGCGCTGATGGACCAACTCATGGAAGCCAAAGACCAACTAAAGGAACACGAGGTGGACATCAACAAGAAGGTACACCCACCACACAACACACAACACCCACCACGCAACACCCACCACACGTGCATACATGCGTATTACACATGATGACACGCGCATGCATGCGTATCACACATGAGGACATGTGCATGCATACGTATTACACATGAGGACGTGTGCATGCATGCGTATTACACATGAGGACATATGCATGTATGCGTATCACACATAATGACATGTGCATGCATACGTATTACACATGAGGACATGTGCGTGCATGCTTATTACACATAATGACATGTGCATGCATGCGTATTACACTTATTGACAAGTGCATGAATGCGTATTACACATGAGGACATGTGCATGCATGTGTATCACACATGAGGACATGTGCATGCATGCGTATCACACATCAGGACATGTTCATGCATGCGTATCACACATAATGACATGTGCATGCATGCATATCACACGAGGACATGTGCATGCATGCGTATAACACAT